TTGACAGACTCACCTTCTTTTTGAATTCGCCGATTGAACTGAGCTCGTTCGAATATTATGTTTCGTTTAACAACAAAGTGAGTGTCGAAACTATTCAAAACCTCCTGGAATTTCTTTTTATCCTCTTCCGATATACTGAGCGAAAGAAATATGTCCTCGGCTTTATCACCCATGACGTATATGAGAGCATCCACTTGTTCCTCTTCTGTTTTTGTTATTAGTCCAGAAGCAGTTCGGAAACGTAGAAATCTTTGCTTCCATTTAGGCCATTCCGAGGGAATCGAAAAAGGAAATGATTCTGGCGGCGTTATATGATATGCAGGAGCTGATGTCATGATATAATTTCAGAATATCGAAGGAGAGTCAAAACTTACTGCGTTAATTTGTTTTCTTTTACCGCTGCCACCATGTGTTGTTATGTATTATTTCAGTACATATTAAATAAATGAGCAGGATCTAGCATCTCGCAAACACATTTAATAACAACTTAACGAGATACACAAACACAAACTGAAACTAAACATAAAAGTAAACTGAAACTAAAACTAAACAGTTACAGTTAATCTGGCTGATGCCACAAGGGCCCCCTGAGCTTGAGGGCCCCGGGCACTGCCCCGCCTAGCCCCTAGGTAGCTACGCCATTGCCTATGGGGGTACTGATCGAGGAGCTTCCTTGTCTTCTGGATTGGTTCAAAATTACAAGACTGCGGAGTTAAACATTAGTAGTCGTAAACCCAAAATGGGATCAGTTGTTCAAGGGATAGTTATAAAAAAATAAAATAAAAAATCAGTGCCTCTGGGGCTACTGAATTGGAGATTGATGATGCTTTGGTTCAGGTCAAAATTACGATTTGCTGATAGATGATATATTCGTCATCAAGAATACGAGAAATCACCAATTGCTGCACATTGTTGGAATCTTGGTCATAAATTCAGTTTCGAAAGTGAAAAAATTATTCCCCCCCTCTAATCATATCTGCTAATTTTGATGAACTGGAATCTTGTTCTATTCATATGAATGCCGATTCCCTTGATAAGCGGCCTCAACCCTCGCCATCTTAGATTCTAAGTTAAATTTTTAATTTTTGTTTTCTCGATATTTCTTTCGAAAAAGAAAATAAATAAAGAAAAGAAATATTCATATCACGGGAAAAGAAATATCGAAAAGATAGAAAGGTCACTTTATTAGACTAAGATTAATAGTGCTTGGTAATTTTTAGAACTTCTATTAATTTTTCCTGAAAACTTTAAATAAAGCAATAAAATGATGCGACTTGTGGTTTTGACCAAGTAATTTAAAACTACACGCCACACGGTTTATAGACTTTTTTCTTAAATATTTTCTTATTTTAGTTTAAATTGATGAAAAGCGATTAAACGGACGCTAAAAATTTCCTTAACGAAATGGGAAAAAATTGTGATAACTCCTTGATGTTTCTATGTAATCTAAAAATGATTTTCCTAAATTCACTAAATTATTATTTATGAACATGAATGCATTTCTCTAAATTTCGAAAATCACGAAAAAGATCCTCTTAAATCTTCAAGTGATATATTTTTTCACCTATATAATAAAAAACTGATTTCGGGTAAAAACATTTAAAATTTTCCCTTTTTCATATGAAAATATTATTGTTGAAAAACAAAACAAAACAAAAAGGAAGCAGAAATTCACCCAAAAAGTCATTTTTAGTGTTTAATTAAAAAAAAAATTTAAATTTTTAGAGAAATATATAGTTTGTTGTATTGGTTTTAAATAACACCATTGTGCTCCAACTTAATGTCACGTACCGGTCTACATCAAGTATAATAAATAGACGTAATTACAATCGGATAAGGGGGTTAAAATTATAAATTGTAACGGACATTTATAGGACAAGCTACAAATTGTTCATACTTCAAATTGGTCTTATTGCATGTGCTCTGTAATTCGATTCTCATCGATACTCTGTTTAGATTTTTTTTTTTTATTTATTTTAAATTTGAGAAGACCATTCAGCTTTTGTATGATTTGCCTGAGGTTCGAATTCTAATGGCAAATACTGATCGGACAACAATTTGAAAAGAACTTGAACACAAATACACAGTGTGCCTTGTATGGATACAGTACCTCCTATCTGAACGGAATTAAAATTTACTTAATAATTAAAAGTACATGGGACTAAGTTATATTTAAATTAAAATTAAATTAGAATTAAATTAAAATTGAAAATAATTAACTAATTGATAATTTAAATATTTGGTAAGATTATCTAAAATAGGAAACAAATTCCCAGAATATACAATCGTAGATTATATTGAATTAATATTTAATTTGAAAAGTTTCGTAGAAAATGCGTCATTTACCGCCATTAACTTCTTCATTCTCACTACATTGAATTTACGTGTCATATATCAAAACGCGCATGCGCTAGCAAGACTTCTCGCATGTAGTTTCGAAAAATTTAGACTTGATTTAAGAGAAATCGGATATGCGTCGACGAATCCAATAAAACAGACGATGATTTTTGAGGATCTCTTGCTTTGAACCAAATGGAAGTTTAAAGACTCTCCATAAAAGAACAATCTTAGTCTTTTTAATGATACATTTGTTTATATTCCTTCCTTTTGGTACCTAGCTGGCCATTTTGCTCATAACAGTTTTCAGTTAATAAAGGGTTATTAAATGTCTAAACTGTATCCGCGAACTTGAAACATAAGAATTTTGATATTTTCTGTTTGTTGTTGTGAGTTGTGAATCTGTCTTTTAATTGTTGTCGTTAATGTGAATCGTATAAAAATGTTCAAATTTTTATGATATGTATTTGATAACATGTTTTAATTATGTAAACCATGTCATCGGTGTTCGCTACGGAAGCGTTGAAGATAACTGTAGCTCAGATATGTCAAAACATTGGTTGGCATGCTGTTCAGTCTTCACCCCTAGACATACTTGTAGATGTTTTACAACGATTTGTATCGGAGATCTCTAAAGCGGTTCATAATTATAGTGTACAGTGTAAGTAAGTGCTCGAAACCTTATCTTTTTACTCTCGTTTTTGCCATATACTGATAAATAATTCTGGTTTAAGAGTAAGTTTTGGTGAGTTAGTTGTTTTGTGATTTCGGTTAACAGTAACCAATTTTATTTTGAAATTATTGTGCTTATCTGATAATACCATAAATTATGAATCGTATTTACTATAGATGCAATGTAAATAATGTAATTTTTTTAAAATGACATTGCGATGTCTGATTGCATTATATAATATTAGACATTATTTTTGTTTACATTTGTTTTATTTTATTGCAATATATAAATTTTTTGAAGAGTTTGTATAGCTCATGTTATTTTTTGAAAACTTCTCCGCCGGTATTTTCAATTTAAAGTGTGCATACACTTATTAGAATTGAGTAGATTAGTATTGATTGCCCTTTGGATTGTATTTATTCACAATTTGTATTAATACAAATTGTATCAATTATAATTCGAAGCTTAATTTTCATCCCTGGTTTCAGTTCCTTATTTGTATCTCTTTATGATGGATCAAGGTGCTCTTTGAAAAATATCCATATCGTTATCCAATAAGCTGGGCTCCTACGGGTCATACTAACAGGGAAACACTGAACTATACAAAATATTACAGAAATGAAACCGACTCGAAGGGTATAACTCTTGTTCATCTCTGGGCAAACCTCTGCAGGTTGATTTATTTTATTAAATAGTCTTGATTAAAATCAATTTGTTGCCTTGGCGATCGTAGTTGGCGTGGCAGATCGCGATACGGAAATATTCCTCACGAATAATAAAGCAATTTTGTTTTGTTTGTGAACATCTTATTTATTTATTTTTATTTATTCATCAGATATTTTTAAAAGAACTAATAAAGTTTCAGTCTTTTAATATTTTAATTTATTTATAGATTTATTTAAGACCCACGGCTCCACCGAAAGACATTTAATTATTTAGCATTCCATAGCCAAAAGAAATTGGAAACTGCTGATCTATATAACGCTTTTTTTATAATCAGTCGTATTTAAAATTCGATAATTAAACAGATTATTGATTGTCTGCATGAGTGCTCTTAGAAAACTGCTACTATTTTAAATATTTTTTGAATACTGAATCATGGGTTGCCATTCCACATGTAGAACTGGGAAATACAGGGAATTTAAAAATCACCAAAAATGCTGGGAATTTTGATTTTTTCTTTACAAACTGGGCAAATACAGGGAATTTTGTTTCTTATTTCCGTCTTTTAAAAAATGGTGACCCCTCAAAGCGTATTCTATGGGATATTTAACCATGATGTTTCATCTTTACTCAACTATTTCATTTACTGTAGCATTATTTAAGTATGTTTAGGTGTTTTTCCAGCAATTAAAACTAATAAATATAATTAGCCTTATATAGCTCACACAAGAGCACAGTAAATATTGTTTCCTCTTAATATTTTGTGTATAATATGGACAGGGAAAACACAGGGAACTTTTTTTTCAGATTTGAGTGGCAACCCTGTTAATATATTCAAATTTTTCATCTTATAAATTTTATTTTATTCTTTAAATTTTAATCCTGAATGTTTTTTGTTTTCAGATAATCGTACTGAAGTAAACCTTGATGATCTTGGCTTAGCATTTCAAGATTTTAGCATTTTACTTCATGAGATTCAAGAATATGCCAACAATGTAGATTCTGTTCCCTTTGCATACAAAATTGTAGATTTCCCGATTCAGAGGACACCTAATTTACAAATTCCCAAATCAGACAGCCGGGAAGTTTTGATGCGTCCTGAGCACATTCCTAGCTATCTCCCGCCTTTACATCCTGATCTTGATGGTAAACTATTATTTTTTGTTTACAACTATAATATTTTCATTAATGTATTCCTAGCTCATTAAATGTTTGTTTATGCTTAATGAATAGCTTAATGCTTTTGAATAATTCTGACATAATTTTAAATGCTGAGTTGGAGTTTCTTTCATAATCAAACATTTGTGGTCTATTATTTCAAGCGTAACTCTTTGCCTTTCACTATTCTTAAAGAAGTTATTGCAAAATAATGATTTAATTTAAAAAATTTCCTAGGACAGTTGTGTCACTTTTTCAAAGAAGGCTACAAAAAAAAAGTATTTGAGGTTGAGGAGCATGAAATTCAATTGTTATATCTAGTATTAAAAGCTTAATTTTTCTTGACAGCTGTGAGAACCATATCAGTTTGTCCTAAAACAAGAAAATTTTTCTTAAAACTTATGTCTTAAACTAAGCTTCAATTGTAAAGTCTGCAAATTTTCACATCTTTTCAGACAAGGTATATTTTTTAAGACAAAATCAAAAATTGGATGGAAATCATTTAAATTATTCTTAAGAAATAGAGTTGAAAAAATGTGTTTTTTCTTCTTATTATTATTAACTGAATGCTATTATTCAAATTCAAAATGTTGACATTACAGCTATCATTGTTTTTGGCAAAATTGCATACCTTACTATTCTGGCTGTTTTTTGTCATTAAAAAATGAAAAACTACTTCATGAAAAATTATTAATGGTTATTGAAAATTATTTTTATAAAGATCACCTTTAATTAAGATTAATTTTATAGTAGTACTATTTTATTGGAATGTGTTAAATTTTCAAGCTATTTCAAAAATTTCAAATTAAAAACATTTAGGGATTCCAATGTCTCATTTTTTACCTATTTTGTAGCTAAAAGAGCTTCATTAGTCTTTCGAATCATTAACTTTTTGTAACATAAAATTAAACAAATGTAGAGTAATTCTATAAATGATTTTTAGTTTGTGCTTTTCCTAACACATATTTGCTGGTTTAAGATTTTATCAATTTATTTTGCCATAAATTAGTGTGTTTCAGTCAATTGTCAACAGTCAGTGTATCAATTGTGTTAAATTATTATTTTTTAAAATTTATTGCTTAAATTCTATACAAACCAACTTTTGCTTTAGATAGTTGTAGCATGTTGTAGTTGTATGTAATTATCAATGGAAATATTTAAAATACTTTTCAGATTTTTTTAATAACAATTTTAAAATATTCTTTTTATTTTATTTTTAGAAGAATCATTATATCCTCAGCCCACTAGTATTGATGGTTTAAAGAAAAACGGTGATGTTGGAGTGAATTGTTGCGATTCCACATCATCCCCTCTAGGCAGTCCGAGACATGGAATAAAGCGATCTGATTGGTCTACAGATTCATTCAATAAAAGATCAAGGTCTGTAAATTTTATCAATAAGTATTTACTGCATGGCTCATAACTTGATTGAAAACTTTCATTTGCATTTTCATGAAAGATCTTAAAGTATATTGAAAATACTACAGTTTTACAAACCACATGTATGTATAGCAATAACTACCGAAAAAAATATCACAAAAGTTACTTAAACTTATGGTGAATCAGCACAGAAAAAGAGCATCAAAAGTGATGAGCACTCTAAACGTTGAAATTTGCATACTGCAAAAGCATTGTATTGAAAACAATATAATTTTTTAAATTGAAGAAATTTGCATATTGCAATAGCAATGTATTGAAAACAGTATAATTTTTTAAACTGAAGAAATCCTTAGCGACGACCACCAGAGAAAACGAACCCCCCAAAAAAGCTTGAAACTGCATGTCAAAATTTCTGATCTTTTTTATTTTTCAAAAATGAATTATATTTGCAGGTGTTTCAGCGGGCCGTACATCTAGAGCTAGCAGGCTGCAGGTTGTGCACCCCTAAGCTAATGTATCATTAGCATAGCTGTAATTTAAACAAATGAAGTTTATTGGTACTACTTTAAAGAAAACTTATTTCATAATTTTTTATAATTTTAGTTTAATGCAGAATTTTAAAATCTATTTATCCATATTTGATAGACGGCCGGAGAATTCATACTTATCATTATGAATTTTTAGTATGAATACTGGGATAAATTCATACTTATTTGATTAAAAAAATTAGTATGTTATTTGTAACTGTGCAAATTCAATGCAATAGTGTATATGAATAAGATAAATCTAATAGTATGAAAAATAAGATTTAATTATGTTATTTTAACAATTCTTTATATAATTGTAAAATAAGTCATTATTGTATTTATTCACATAAAGTATTAAAAAAGTCATTTTTATTTCTGAAAAAATGTTGTAATTTTTTTCTGAGCTGGTGTTTTTTAGTTTTTACTTATTTTAAAATTATATATATTAAACAGCTTGTAAATTAATAAATACCATTATTTAAATCAGATTGCAATTATAAGCCGTTTCCATTTCTTTCTCTTGAATTTTAAAAAAAAAAAACCTATTTTATCGAGAACCTATTTACTGTGGATTTTTTTCTACTGCGGAAGAAACTTGTCATCCCTGATTGAAATAGAGTTGTTGAAGGAAATTGTTATTTATATTTAATACAGCTGTATTTATTTTTTATTTTTTTGTTGCCTTGAATTACTGCATCAAATCATTATCTGCCTAACCACATTACTTTTGTTGTGTTTAATTAATATTAGCTTTTTGTATTTTAGGTACTACATAGAAGAGGAAGGAAGGCCTATGAGAGAGGTGACCAGTGTATTTATGACCCCAACTGGATTTGTTTCTCCTGTTCATGAAGGAAAATCAGCTGAAGCATCTCTTCCTTGCTTAGTCGATTCCCCACCTCCTACACCTGATCCACCTCCTCAGTCTACAGTTTCCTCAAAGAAAGATTCTAAGGTTAAAGATGTGAAGAAGGAGAAGTCATCTAAACCTAAAAAAGACAAAGAATTAAGCAAGAAAGATTTAAAGAAGCTAAAATCTTCCAAAAAAGAGAAAGAAAACAAAGACAGCTCCAACAAGCACGAGAAACTGGGGTCTCTTTTGGTCAGTTCGAAGAAAGAGCACGGTAGTTCTCACAAGTCGAGTAAATCCGACAAAGCAAAGCCTGAAGACCCCCTTCGACCGAAAAGCAAAGACAAAATCAAGTTGAAATCTCGGAAAGATGAGGCTCACAAAATGAAGGAAAATTTCAAGCTGGGAAAGATGAAAGCAAAACTGAAGCATTCAGCAGCATCTGGCTCTTCATCCCACGTTAAACCAATGAAATTATCCAGTTCCAAAAAACTGAAGGCGGCTAGATTAACAAAATCAATTAAGCATTTCAAAGGGGAGCGAACTAAGATTGTTGAGCCTCCCCTTCCACCATCTCCACCACCAGCTCTAGTAATACCAGTTTTTCCTAAAGAAATTTGTGAGCCTAAGATTTCCGTGGTTGAGCCAGTAGTTGAAAAAGAAGTGAGAAATGACTTTTTGGAGGATGAGGATATGGACTTCAGAGAAGAATCCCCAGAACCGAGACTCGTCATCGACGATTCTTTAGAGACTCAAGCTCGACAAGAGAAGGAGTCTCGCCTGGAAGTGATCGACTCGTGCATCGAAGCAGTCATCCGCCGTGGCGAAGAGGAGTCGGAAACCGAAAACAAGGCTATGGACGACACAATCAATTCTGTGGTTCGTGGCCCTGGTCCCGGTCCTATGATGCGAAAGCTGGAGGCTAAAGATATCTATGACTTTACCGATGCCTCAGATAGCTCCTCACTGTCGTCGTGTGATATTCCTCCCCATTCTCCAGTGCAACCTCCCGCTAAGAAAGACAAAAAATCCTCGGACAGTAAGAAATCATCCGACAGTCCTAAGCGGAGTAAGAAGGAGAAAAAGAAAAAGGGTGCTAAGGAGGCAAAGGCTAAATCTATGAGTCCTTACTCACCGCCACCCATTAAAAATCAAAAATCTAACTTTATTCTTAAAGTGGATGATAGGACTCCTTCGCCCATTTTAAAAGATGATCTGTTGAGCAGTGATGGCTCTACGCCCAGCTCTTCTCCTAGATCTAATTCCTTTTTTGATCATTCACCACCTCCACAAAGCTCTACGCATCAATCACCATTGCTGTCAAACATACCTTCACGACCACCCCCATTTGTACCCGGTTCTAGTTATAATACGACTAGTCCCTTCACGTCAGTGCGACCTCTCGGCCATATTCAGACAAATCCTCATTTTCCGACACCTCCCCTGTTTGTGAATCCAGGTAAATCAGAGAATGGTTCTTCGTTTCAAAACTTGCAACCTTTGAATCTGGCCAAGTCTGGACCTTCACCTGTTAAAAGCTCACCTGAAAAATCTTTTGAACTGAATTCTGCCTCTCTTTCCTCTCCTAAAGACTCATCAGATCTTATCAAAAAGGCCGCAAATATCTTGGAAAAGGTTTGTTGTGATCTCTTCTTTAAACTTTGTTTATTTTTTTGGTGATATTTTCTGTAAAACTATCCAGTCTAATGTAGGCCAGATAGGATGGAATTCAGCTTCTAACTCTTTCTCCCATTGAATTAAGTACCCTAATTATTTTAAGATAAATGATAATCTGCAAGAGTACTTACTGTTTACTAATACACAAGTTTTTACACAATTGTGAAAAATATAGCAGAAAAAGTCGAACTATATAAGTTTTGCATACGGCAGGCCGATAGCAGTAGGTTCGTTGATAAACAGCAATACTAAAAGGGCCAGGCTTGTTGGTTATTATTTTAAAGACTTGCTTTTATTGGAAAAAGTGTGTTTTTATTGGCTTTTGTATATTTTATTATTTAAAATTATCAGATTGGTATTTAATTTTGTTAATTACTTTTCAGTAATATAAAATTATCTTACCAATTTTATAATCCATAAATGGATATAGTGATGCAAATTTTAATGATGTAATTCCTACACAAAACTCACTTGAAAATGACATTTTTATCTGAAATTGTTCTTAACCTAATTCAATCATGTTCTAATTTCACCTAACTGTGCTTTAAATTGATTCAGAATAGTTATTTTTTAAAATTGTACAAAATCTTTGGTAAGATAGGCATTTTCTATTAAACTGCAAATTATTTGTTCAAAATAACTTATATTTTGTATTATTCATGTACTTATGCTGCACTGTATAATTTAATTTTTTATTGTAGTTCTAGTCCTTAGTTTAAATTGTTCCTTGCACCTTTCAAGGCTAAAACTGTTGCTACAAACTGTCCTAACATATTATCACATAGACATTCTTTTTTAGGTTCTTAAAAAAAAAAAATTTTTTTTTTGACTGCATATTCCACCACTTCATTGGTAGTATATAATATAAATATGCTTTAGAAATAAAAAATAGATATGCTGCAGAAAAGAAATTATGGCGTAGCAAATTATTTATATTAATTAGCATTTATTATGTAATGACAAAACTAGTGTTAGTAACTTATAGGAAACAGTATAGCTTCAACAAGATCTTGGATAGAGGACCGTAGATCTAATTTGCTAAACTTCGGAACTAAGAATAGTCTCTCTACTCTAACTTGAATAGGAGGAAGAGCTGTTACTATTAGGGCTAATTTTAACTTTTCAGGATGCATTTGTAAAGATTCTAAAAAAGGTGTCTTGCAATCACGTTTCCCTATCTCTTTAAGGGCTGCATAAAAATCTTGTTTGTATTTTTCATTTTTATATCTAAAGGCTCTTGTTTCTTTATTTTCATTAGTTTTGCCTTGGTCTCTTCAGTATTATCCAAATATGTCTCAAAATTTAATTCCTCAGTGGAAGAGGATGAAAGAGACTCAATTTGTCTGCAATCTGACTGTCCTGATTTAAATACTCCAATTGTTTTGAGAATAATTTCATTCTTAGTGAAAACTCATAGATGCCTTTTTAATTTGTTCATTATACAATAAAATTCGATGTTTTTGACATACATCTATTCATTCCTGCCAGTTTTCACTCTTTCTGAGAATAGATTTTCCATGTGGTAATGAAACAATTTCCGAAAAACAATCTTACTCAAAAATATGTTTATATTTTGACCAGGTTGGCAAATTCACTATCATAAAGACAATTATGCTCTTATATATTTATTGTAATTATTTTATGTCGTGGTGGTCAAACTCATTTATAATTTTTATTAAAATTCAAAAAGTTTAATGGAATGACATAAGTTTTGCTACCATTTTAAATGTGAAAATAAAATCTTCCGTAAAAACTGGAAGATATATATTGAACCCAACAACATCTCAGTGTCTAGCAAACTAGTTTTTTTTTCATTTATTTATTCTGTCAATAAAATAGAAAATAACTAAATATTTATTTGTGTATATAACCCGTAAATTAAAAAAAATTACTCAATTTTCCAATTATTTTTTTAATATAATTTTAATTTCATTTCAAATTCAAACTGTCCAACAAAAACTGAAGTAGTGATAGACTTGTTTTTAGCGACTTCAAGACTCCTTACTCCCCAAAAAATTTGCTTAATTGAGACTCCAAGGTCATACTCCTCATCCTGCAACAGGTCTCACAGAAAGCCGGTTCCCATCTTTTTCATTTTTTACTAAGTTGTTTAGATGCGAGAGCCTAGTGTACTGACCTTTCCAATTTTTTTTTATAATATCTTAAAAAGAAAGATTTTTGTATTGAAGCAGAATTGTCTATTGTTATAGATTGATTATTTTGCATGATTTTACTTCCAATTACTAAACTACAGAAACTTTGATTACCAAACTCCTCAATTTTTGTTGCATTTAATTCTTATTTTTATATCTATGATTAAGCTTATATGTTTGTGGGGTGATTATGTATTCTGAGCTATTTTTTTGGTGCATTCAGGGTTAAGATGATTTAAATCACTTTATTTATTTAAAAGGAAAAAACGTCTTCAATTTAAATAACCTGATTTTTTAAGAAGTTATTATTTTTATGTTGTAAGTGTTTTACTCAGTTTTTAATATGTAATGGTATTATTGATAATGAATGTTTTTTTTTCATTTTTTTTTTCTCAAAAAAATAAGTTCTTAATTTAAGTATATTCTAAAGGTTGTGATTTTTATTTAAGCTGGATTTCAGGTTTTGTGCAGGCAATAAGCAGAAGGAGTTAGGTATATGTAATTAATGTTAAATTTTTAAGAATAAATGTCAACAGACGTGTGATCAAAATATATTTAAAAAAATTATTAATAAGTTATATTACGTTTTAAATAAGTAAAAAAAAAATATCTGATTTTAATCAAATTTAAATGTTTGCATTTTATTTTTAAGAAAATGGTTTATCATGCATAAGTTCTTGAGATTGATTTCAGTTTATAAAGTTTTTCAAGTACGTGTTTTTATAGTTTGTTTCTATTTAAATATTGATCTGTGACGTAAACAATGAGTTAATATTTGTTTATATATAGCCAAAAATGAAGGATCGAAAAAAAGATAAACTAAAAAAGAAAGGCCACAAAGAAGTAGATAAAGTAAAAGATAAAAAAGAAAAGGAAAAAGAAAAAGAGGAAGTGAAAGAAAAAGAAGTGAAGAAGCCCAAAGAAAAGCCAAAAGGAAAGTCAGAAAAAGGCTCAAAAATTGATAAAAGAAAATCAAAACCTGAAAAGAAGAAAAAAGAGGAAAAGGTTTGTGTTTCACTTTAAAATGTTTTTGAAAATAAAATTCTGTAATTGAATTGTATTATTTTCATCAGGGGGGGGGGGTATGACTAATTTTCGTTTTGTTGCTTCTAACAAACTTTTACCCCTCCCTAAGAAAAGTAGAAAAGTCTTGGTGGAGATATCTATATTATTTAAAGAAAAATCAAGTCTATTTAAATTCATATAATTTTTTATTTTTGTCTGAAACAGATTAAAGAAGACAGCACTGTGCCAAAAATGACATTGAAATTAGCCAGTGGACCTGGATCTACGAAAATGTATGTTGATTACTTGTTCTATTTTTATATATTTTAATTTCTTTATAAATATTATTTTTTTCAAATTCTATACTTTTTACTGTTTTATATTTAAGGGTTTTCTGTGTTCTATTAGTCTTGTGAAAATGAATTTTCTGAACTTTTGTATTTTGCTTGGGATTATTTAAAAATTTGTCTGATGTTAATTTTACGAGTACTATGGTGTGCATATAGGAAAAAAATTCAAAATTATGACTCTTGGTAGGTTATGATACATTTCCAATTTTAGTTTTGCTTAATTGTTTTTTACATTAAGTTTAATTATATAGCTTAATTGCAATTTTTATTTAAAAAACATGGCAGTTCAATATAACAATTGCAATAAGCAGAACAGGTTTTATTATTGAATGTATTGAAAATGTGAATTTTGAGCTATAGAGATAAAAAATGAGCATGTCAAAGGTAAAATTGCTTTTCTATTTTTACCAAATTGTTAAAATGAGAGGTAATGAAATTGTACAAACAGTGACAAGATTAGGAATTATGAGCATGATAGAATACAATTACAAAATTGCTTTTTATTGTTACCTAAATGTTGAAGGTGATATGTTAGAAAAACAAAGCCAGGGAATATTGACTTAAAATTATATTATAATTCAAGATTATTTTACATGCGTCTTTTTAAATTTTTATTTGTATAAAACTTAAAATTATTATTATTTTTTAATGTCTTTCATTTTTTAAATTTTTTTTTATAGTGAATGCCTAAAGTATAAATAATTTTAACAAATACTACTGAATTTTTTTTTTTATCATGTCTTAACATTATTCCATTCATACTTTTCTCCATTCATTCTTTTATATCTCATCACATTATTGAATACTTCTTTATCAAAAGTTTTAGGACTTTGTCTTTTATTGATCCATTTAGATTTTTATTTATTGTTCTTTAGAAGTATTTTTTTTACTCTTTCTATTCAAAATTTAATTAACGTAAATTTGTGTGTAGTTTGTATATGTTAGAAGGCATGTTTATATTTTTTATTCTATAGTGTAGCTCGCCTATTGTTATTTGTTTTTTTAAATTATGTATTTTTGCTATGAATGATGTATGACTATCTTAAACTTCATGGATTTTAATTCATTCTTCATGCATAGTTGGTGATGGGATATTAATTTTGATCTTACAAGCTCTATTTATTCTTGTAGTAGCATGTCTTGAATGTATTTGAGTTAAATTAAATTGTTTTCTTGAAAATATATTTATTAGATAATTTATTCTCTCATACTCATGAATTTCTTAATTTAATATATCTGAACTTTTAAAAGTGAATTGGGTTGTTTTAAGTTATTCTGCTAGGAGCTATTCAAATATTACTTTAGCATCTAACGGAAGAGGGGGGTTAGCAATTAGCTTATTTTTGGTGAGGTATGAATTGGTTATGTGAAGTGCTAATTTAAAAATTTATTTATAAGGAGAAAAAAATTTTTAACAAAAATATTACATTGGGAACAATTTCAAATTAGAATTGAAAATTGAGCTCGGAGAAAGAAAGAAAAATCAAAAAGTTTAAGATTTTAGAGAGTTTTGAGCAGGGAGGAAAAATGCAGTAGATTCCTACAAGTTAACATATTTTACTGAAAATTTCCTAAATCAAAATGAAACATAGATTTTGTTTTATGCAAAGTTACATATTTTGTTTGAATTTAATGTTAATATCAGTAATCAAAATTAAAACCAATACCAAGTTGACCAGGAGCAGAAGCTCTCCAGCAGATTATTACAGCATCTTCAGCTCATTTAGTCATCAAAGCTTTCTTTTTATGTGTACCTAATAATAAAACAGGAGCAAATTGCTGAAATTCCTTTTTAAAATATTTCTAACTTGTCTCTCTCTTAATTTGTTTCTAATTTTTAAACTTGTGTCTAATGAAGATTAAAGAGCTAAATTGAGAATATTTGGCAAGAAACAAAAGGGAACTATTTATTTATTTTTTTTACTTGATTACAGTATACTTAAATAACTAGTATGTTACACTATTAGATTTATCTGAATTTCGAGAATAATAATCTCTACCTGAGAGCGTTGAAGGAAAAGCAAATTTGGATTCATGAAAATAGTGCAATATTCACTGCGACCGAGGGATGTTTTGACTTTCTAACGTTAATATGGTAGGAATTTTGTAATTGTAATATTTGAACAGCCCCTTAAATAGCTGGGGGATCTTTTTGTTTCATTCTGTCTCATGCATGGATTAATAGGTGTATTTCAGTGGTTCTGTTATCTCAATAGGCTGAAAGCATTTAAATTTTATAGAATTTAGGACTAGCATATCTATATTTTTTATATTGCTGGTACTTTTTCTTTGGGTTCCTTTGTATATAGCATGTTTTTATCTTTATTAGAGGTGACTGGATTCCTTGCATGTTTATCAGTGACTGCATGCTTCCTTTGTTTAATCTCCCAAAATTTTATTCTTCCCTTCCAGCTTTGTTAAACCTAATACAAAAAATTCCACATCATTATCTAGCAGCCCATCACCCTCACATGATATGGAAGATGATATACCATCTCTTCCACCTCGCGTTCCTACACCGTCGCCTCCACGTGAACCAACGCCTCCACCTCGGCCAAGAACGCCAACACCTCCTCCGCCATCACCTCCCCCTGTTGTGAAACCTGTGAAAGAGCTGAGCCCTCCTCCTGTTGTTCCGCCTCCTGTAACAAAATCTACACATTCCAGAGGGCGTGGACGAGGCAGGAAATCAGCTTCTGCTGCTAATCCGCCTGCAAGAACAGTTATTACTGAAACTCTTGGGACTATTGTTGTGAGTATTCAAAAAAGTTATTCATTCATTTACGCAGGAATACCAACTAAAACACATTTTCTGTACTTTCTGTGGATTATAACTCTGCCTATAGGGTAGTATAGATAACCACGGAAAATTATTAAAGTAGAACTTCAATCGATTCTTTATCGTGGAAATTTTTTTTGCGAATGAGAGATACAGAGAAGCGACGCATGCGAGTCAATATAAAATAATGATTTAAAAATGTATTGACATTATCAAACTTTAACATTAATAAATTTACAATAAGTATTAAAAATGTTAAAATAAAATTTTTTGTTCTTACTAGTAGAAATGTTTATGATGCAGAGGGAAAGTTAATTAACATATATATTTGACATTTTACAAAAGAAACGAAAAATAAAATGTAGATATAGTTTGAATACACTCTTCTCTTTGCAACTAAAGCGATACATTTTCAACATGTGTAACAGATTACAGTTCATTTTTATCGTAATTTGGTGTGATTAAAGAAAGTTTTAATCAAATGCAGAAAGTTGTGATTAGGGGTGTAATGAATATACGGCCGTCGACCGAATATTTAGCCAAATATTCAGTTGATCGTTCAAATATTTGGCAAAGTATTTTTCGGTACTTGTTTCATTATAAATAGTTTTCATATATTTAATTATGAAACTTGCACACAGTTTGGAAACATATGTTCTGGAAGACAAATAAAAAATCGAAGTTTAAAGAATTGTAATTTGTTTAATAAGAATAATAAGAGAAATAATGTTTAATAAGAGAAATAAATAAAATGTAGGTATAATTTCAATTCAGTCTTCTCAAGTAATACATTTTCAACATTTGTAACAGATTGCTGTTCTTTTCTGTTGTAAATTAGTGATAATGCTGAAAATTTCGAATTATTTTAAAAGCTTTGAGTTGTGCAACTGTAACACTGGTACTGTAACTATAATTGTAAAAGTGATAATGCTGAAAATTTCTCATTATTTCAAAGGCTTTGAGTTTTGCAACAGTAACACTGGTTGTGATTCTGTTTCACAGTCTTTATTTGTATTATTTACACTTTTTCAGTGTCTTTGATTCCATTATTTCAGTCCATGTCGGACCACAAGTGTCATAATTTGCACTGTAAATTAAACTACAATAACTCAGGTTTTACAATTAAATTATCCGTAAGGTAACAACTTGAATTTTTATTCCTTTTGAGTTAAGGTGCAGCAAGAAAACTCAGATAAAGTTATTGCGTCGTAGAAGTTCACTATTATTTTTTAAAATTTGTGTGCTCATTTTTTTTTGACTACCACTTTCACTGTGAAATATTACATAATATATCAAGCAAATTAATACCTCTGAGGGGGCTGAATTTGAGATTGATCGTTCTAAGGATCAGGTCAAAATTACGATCTGTGGGTGAATGAATGGAGTATGATTGGGTTCTCCCTGTATAACAGGCTGCGACGTGTGTGTTACTGAAGTTGTATTCATGGCCATAGATAGCGCCATTGAATAAATAAGAAACACAACCTTCTGTCTTAAAAATCGTTTGATTTCAAGCAGGCTTGCTGATTGGCAGGTTGAAAATTCCACCTTTTACTTAGCATTTTAGCACATGCAAAAAAAAAAAAAAAAAAAAACCCAACCTATTTATAACATTCAAAATAAAAATATCACATTTGAGTATATATTTTAATTTAAAAATTGTGCCTAAACCATGGAGCATGGTGGATTTGAAGAATTTGTTCTTGTAAAATTCGAAGTAGCTTGTAAAGTTCCGTAGTAGAACTAAAGAATTTGTGCTTGTAATTGAAATTTATGCTTGTAAAAATTTTCTTAGTGATCTTAAATATGTTGAGCATATATTTGAAATTTATTATCTATGAAAAGATTTTAAAATTTTTTGAAATAAATGAAATTCAAATAGGATTTTCAGGATTTGCCACTTTTCTCAAACTGTATGAAAATATGTCACTTAATACAAATTGCAGACACTTAAAGGAAAAAGTCATACCTTATTTATTAAAATAAATTAAACTTTCTATATTTAAATTCACATTTCTGCATATTGCCTTTTAATTACATTATTGTTTTGGTTTAAAGTACTTCAAACGCTATAAATTCTGTTACCTCTGTTAGTTAAATTATTTCTTATTTTCAAATTTCCAGGGGTGGTTGTACTCTGGGTGTACCCTGGACTTCTGGGTCTAATTATTAAGAGCGAGGGATATTTTTCTGAGAATATTGTGAAATTCCGTATTTCTCAAGACCATTGGTTCTCAGATTTTCATGTATCAAAAACTTATAATCCGATAAAATTTTTACAGGATTCCGCAATCTAAAATTAAAAATTTTAAACATTTCCTAATTCCCATTATTGAGAATTTACATACATGTTATTCTTTTGGTGCGGTAGATTTTTGCTATTCTTATTCGCACGGCCTAAATATGAGTTTTTTTTTTTTATTAGCGTAATTTTAAAGTTACACGCTGTGATTCGTATTCATTTAACATTGTTCACGGCGATTGGTATTCATGTGATTCAATTCTCCAATGTTGTGATTTGTATTTACACATTTTCAAAATAAATATTTTAAATTTGTATTCACGTGAATTTAAAATCCAATGTCAAAATTTGTATTCACGTAAGTCCAATAGTGCAATTTGTATTTACGTGTTTTTAATATCAAACATTGATTTTCGTATTTTTGCATGATTTAAATATAAATTGCGTTTGGTATTCACATGTTTTTAAAATTTAATATTGCGATTCACAGGGTTGGCAAGATTTTGCCGCAGGTGGAAAAAACCATGGTAAATATCGGTAAAAACCGTCCTGGCAAAAACAGGTTTTTGCCAAGAAAATTGGCAAAAAGTGGCAAAAACCTATATTTTCCAAGATGAGAGGACAAAAACACATTTTTGATACAAAATTATTCCTAAAATTGAAATATATACTATGAATATAAATAATTACAAAAAAATTAACAAAATTATTATTCCATAATTAAATGATAATGTAATAATATATCATTTTAGTAGTTTAAAACATTATTGATTGGAAAATTTGTGATTATTCTCTTTTTTCCAGTGAAATGAACTTATTTTAAATTAATATAACTATAATTTAAAGCATAAAATATC